ATGAATATGCTCGATATGTTTCATGTGCTTGACGACGAACAATTGAATGATGTCCACTTGTATAACGTTTACCAACTTGTGTTGCAATTTGTTTATGAATGTGAGGATATGAATCAGCAACAGTACGTGTTTCACGTTTAAGATAACTAAGTAGTATAATCAGACCAATTAATAAAAAGAGAAAAGCAATAAATGATAATACAACACCAATTGGTTTAAGTAATCCATGAAATTTAGTTGTAAGTAAAGATACAATTAAAAGAACAAGACCAAGTAATATTAATGCAGTTACTTCAAAGAAAATGATTGCATTCCAATGAGGATATCGTCGACAATGGCACTCTCTTGGTGAAATAAGTCGATCAGCACATGTAAGCAATGCACCTCGAAGAGTTGATGTTTCTGATAAACAATGATTTAAATCATCCTCTCCATTATCTAATCTTGGAAAACGTGTACTTGTCCAAACATCAAGTTGTTCATCATGGCCAGCATAAACTTTAACATCTCGTGAGTATAAACCATAAGTTTGATCAATTCGACTATCATCATATACATTTGATGGATTTTGATGACTATCAACAACTGGATCAAGATATGTTACTTGACGTTTCCAATGATGAGTTATAACAGCAAAAAATTGTAAAAGAAATGCAGTGATTGCCAATAATAAAACAAGTATATTTAATAAACGAACAAGATCTTTAGTTGCATGAGGATCTATAGCTCTAGTTTTAGCTTCGCTTTTAGCAGTAGATGCTGTTGTATCTTTGGTTTTCTTTGCCATCGTCCTTGTTTGGTTGCTTCTTCAGTGGCGGCTTTGTTGTTATTATTATTTCTCTTGTGGTAAAAGGAGTGGTAGTGGCGATGCGTTAGTCAATGCTCGATTAGCATGAGACTGTCATCAACGTTGTCGTTTGTTTTTTTTGGCGCACAAACGATAGAAGAGAAAAAAGAGAATGAGAGAAGGATAGACGTTCGCCTCAATCTAATATCATATCTTTGCCGTTATACATTCTTCTTCGTTTTTTCCTTCTCTTTTCTTGGCACGTACAAATACAAAATATAAATTTGACCACATACAATTACGTCGGAGACGTTATTGAGGAAAAGAGGATATAAATATGTAAAGAAGCAGAAAAGAGAGAAAATGAATGAAATTATGATTAATACTGCCTACCACGTTTATTTCTCTCTCTCTCTCTTCTCTCCCCTCCCTTCCCCTCTCTCTCTCTCTCTCTCTCTCTCTCTCTCATCTTTCAGTCAGAATGAGTGACGACCACAAAAAATAAACAGAAAGCTTCTTTTGCTTTACCACTTAATAAAACAAGGACATTTCTTTTTTGGACGATATATGTGCTATTTCTTTTCTTCCCACCTGCTGGTAAGGAAGAACCACCACCGATTTATCGTATAAATATCTATCTATCTATCTATCCTTCACTCAATGATCATATAAAAAACGAGAGAAGCAATATATTATGACGTGTTTATTTTGAGTTGTAAATCGTTTATCTTCTCATTTTTTTTTCCTCTTCTTTTCCATTATTACCAATAATCAACTACATAAAATACGTAATGAGCACAAAATCTTCATACTTTACATGGATCAATTCGTATAATGATCACCTTGACATGCATCATTTATACTCGAGAAAAAAAAAAGAATCTTCATAGGTGTGCATACCATTACTTGATCATTATCAGTATACATTAAATTTAACTCGTTTCATTGAATATACATTTAGTTTTTAAAACTATTTGAACACAAAAAAAAATTGAATCGAATCGAATGTATCGAACCTATTTTATGAAGTATCTTAAGAATTCTCTCTATATATCATTCAATGTATCTGTAAAAGACATTCGTTAATAATCATATTATACAATAAGTAAAATTATGTTAGAAAGATAGATACAAATGTTCAAGAGAACAGTTGTCCTATCTTTGAAGTGATGTGAAGGTCGTAACAGCTGCTATTGAGATGATGATGATGATGATGAATCGATTATGAACAAGATGATTGAATTGCATACTTATTTCGTTCTAATTACTTTCGATAGATCATTATAAAAAAGAAAATTTCTAATAATACTTTATAAATATAATTCTATTTCTTCATTATCTACTTTCTGGATTAGTCAATAGGATGTTAGAAGAAAAAAACAAACAAAAGATAGATAACAGGGGCGGCAAAATAGTTCTATAGATAAAGCAGATGGTCCTATCAACATTGATGTTGGAAACCAATCATTTTATACTTGGTAATAACTCGATCTCTCTTGAGTACAAGTCGTTAGATATTTTTTCCTCTAAGTATACATCGTTTTTCTTTAATAATAAACTAAAGTCTGCTTCTTTAGATTTTGCTTATGTATACTAATATTTCCTAAAGGAATTACATTAAAATCTCTCCATAGACTTGTGTTTTCTCGTAACAAAAACAAAAATTTATTAAAATTGTATATGAAGTATATTCTGATAAAATTCAGATAATTTTTCTACACATTTCTTATGTTAATCATAAATCAATGTCAAGATCTTATTGATAAACAACCCTATACACATTTATCACTAGATATAAGATGTTACTGAAATCATAACAAAAAAAAAGATTTTGATGATAATTAATAATACTATTAAGATTTTATTTAAGCAAATTCATTAGGATCTTTTCTTATAATCATCTGACACAGGACAACAAAATATTTATCAAACTAACTACGAATTCTAGAAAAAAATTTTGGTCTTTTAGATAAAATAATACAAGGAAGAGAAAAAAAAGACGAAGCAGCGGATATATCCGATTACAAATATAGAAAAATTAATGTGTAGATAGTTGTGGTCCTATAACACAAGGTCGACACTTTCCAAAACCATATCGCCATGCTTTGTCAATTGATATGAGTTGATGATGATTTCGATAGAATTGATAATTATTTACGGATGTTCGATAAAGAAAATCATCATCATTATCTTGAGCATTAGCATGATGTAAACGAAAATATAAAAGTTGATCTAAGAAAAGTGAACCAAAACTAACATTTCCATTATAATTAATCTGTCCTAAATTATATTTATTTGATTGTGATTTATATCGAAATGTAAATGTTGCATTTTGTTCTTTTTGATTTGTATACGATTGACTAAATTCATTCATTGATATAATTGATAGAGTTTTTGTATGATTATCAAGTTTAAAACATTGATTAGGTGTTCGATCTAATAATGATCTTTCAAAACAAACATATGGTAATTTAAAAACTAAATGAACTGTTGTTTTTTTATTAGCCATTATATAATCAATTTCTGCTAATTTCATATAAGAATCATTATAATTATTATCTGGCCAACGAAGATATATGCCTGAACGAGCGATATATTTTGTATATAAATATTTATCTTGTACATGTAATTTATGTATTGAACCGGGTATTTTAATATAGCCTTCACCATGATGACGATGAATAAATAGAATAGCAATCATAATTGATAAAGCTAAATTAACAAGCCAAATTGGTATAAGAAATATTGGAAAACAAATATATAAGCGTTTAGCTCGACACCATTGTGGTATATCTTCTGATTTAACATCATTACGTAAAAATGTATAGAGATTATAGAGTTTCCATATAGTTACACATATAGAAAATATTGCTTTAAATAATGAAGACATTTTAAACCAACCATCACGACATAGATTTACATGAAATATAATCATTATTTGTGGAACTTCTTTGGCAATTGCCCATAATAAATCAATTGTATATGAACGAACACGAAGACATTCTTCAGGTTTTAAACAACCACAACAAAAAATTAATAGTATTAGTTGTACACATGCAAGAATTATACCAATTGATGTAAAAAATGAATATCTAAAACAAAAAATAATTCGAGATTATGAATTAAATAAAAAAATCTTACGCTGGTAATATCCATCCTTCTAAATCACAATAGACAAGACCTTTTTTAATACCACTATTTTCTCTTATAAAATATCCATCAAGCATTAATGACCAAACTAATATAATTAAATTCATTACTACACTTTGCATGCATACTTTACACGAAACCATGATTGATTTTCTAAAAAAATATAAACAACGATTAATATATATATACTAGAATAAATAAATCTATATTTTTGATAAAATTTCTAATGTAATAGTAATAATATATTTGTATTAAAAACCTATCAATAAAATTGGCAATTATAAAATGCTAAGTGTATATATGTTTAATGTATAGATTTTATTCATAAATTGGTTTCACTTATATATATTTTTTTGTATAAAGAAAACAATTTTGAGTTCTTTACAAGAACAATACTCATAACTATATTGGTCGATTGATATTTATACAATTCATGAATAACACCTACAAATGTCACAAGAAATCTTGTCACTTGCTATTTTGATGATTAATTTTTGTAAACAAACGAATGTCTATATACATTTCATGAATTATCATGATCAGACTATGATTCACTACTAATCAGACTACAAAAAATAGATTCCAACTAATTATTATTATCTATATATTTTCGATTTTCTACACTAATTATTTTAAAAAAATTAATATTATTTGTAATCAATTTTCTTATCATTAAAAGTCAAAACAAAAAAAAACTCTTGTTTTTACCTTATAGATATAATGAATCTTCTTTCACATTAATCAATTGAGTGCTCAAATTCTATTGGTCTATTTTTCCACCAATAGTAAAACATCATAAATCCTCTTTACTGGAATCATTTTCAAAATTAATCTTGTAGCGTAATAATCAATTACTTTTATTTGATCTATATATGATTAACTAAATGTTGTTGTTGTTTTTTTTCTTTCATATACATATCAAACAGCTGTTGTTCTCTTGAAATTTACGTTTATTTTTTTTCTCTCAAGACAAATCCATCGTCAATGCTGGATCTTTCATCATTATTATGATCCCATCAAAGTACTCATTATTATTATTGATTTAAATTTAATAAAAAGAACAATGAATACACCATATAGTCTTGAATATTGTCATACAAATTTATTTGCCTTGGTAATTAAAATTTAGTAAACAAAAAAAAAACTACATATATTTCTTTTATATTTTACAGCAAAGTTTAAATGATATGAAATGGAAATGTTTTCGTCGAGCAGTAGATAACCAATCCGGTCGTCTAGACAATTATAAAGATCCAGTTTTAATTGAATATTGGAATGCTTTACAAAAAGATACTTTATGTGCATGGAGACGAGTACTGACAGATGATGGACAAAAAACAGAAAGAGAACTTTGGTTATTCGGTATTAACGAAGATCTTCCTACGAAATTAGATAATTTAAAACGTTAGAATTTTTATAACAAATTCTTTTTTTGTTGTTATGGTTTCTATTTTCATTTAGCGATTACTCATGCACATGGAGTATGGAACGACGATCCAATGTCGTATGATTGTAGATCAATGTTATTTAAAGCATTGCATAATATGATTGAAAAGTAGGAAATAATGAACAAAATTCTCATGTTTGTGTTTGTTTTTTGTAAATATTAGATATTTATTATCAAAAGGTTTTGCTCGATTGAATAAATGGTTTGTTTTACCAGTTAATGATCATTCCGATGTGAAAGTGTATGTTTGAGAATTGATTTTTGTAAAGAATATTTATGAATATATTTAATTTAGACCAAATTATTCTTTTAATTTTAATTTTTTTCTTCATGGTGATAATAAAGTATGTGCAAGTGTTGATGTTCAACGTCATAAACATATATTTAATTTAACCAGTAAAGACCTTGAACGAACTTCACCATCAAACAGTATATAGAAATACATACATATTGTTTTTTAATGTATATATAAATTTCTATTATATATATAGTTATTTTGGCACCGTATGGTATCAATGGAACGCTTATTGGTCATGTCAGTAGAGAAATAGATATGAATGCTTTGAGAGAAAATTGGGAAAAAAATTATCCGGTTCGTCATTTGGATGGTCTGCCTCTTTTTGTTGAAGTTACAACAGGTAATGCGCGAATGTTCTATCCAACTTGTTATGTATATAAAATTGGTGCAAGTGATGAATCAACTCCAACTAATGAAAATACTACATCGATAAATAAAAAATCGGATGTATCAACAAAAAAAACAAAATCCCGAATAATAACAGCAGCAGCAACAACTGCTAATACAACAACAATAACTAATACATCTTTAGATTCTATATCAAATACAAATAAAATTGAAAGTTCGTTGTTAAAAAAATTTGCAAATAATTTATTAATAAGTGCTCAACGAAATAATTCAATTGATCATGAAAAAACGTAAGTTATCAAAAAAAGTGAACTCGAAATTTGGAGTTTAACAAATTGTTTTTTCTCTTGAATAACATCGGTCGATTCAGAGTAACCAAGAGTATTTATATGCGCAATCAGAAACAGACGGTTCAAGTTCTGAGCTGAGATTTTCGTTGAAAACCAGACATCCGTAAACTCCAAATTTCGAGCTCACTTTTTCGACTAAATTTTATTAGTATTAAATCTATTTTTCTTATAGTCAAGTTAATATATGTTCAGCAATTAATGATCCAACAAATTATCGACCATGTCGGTGTACTCAATGTTTACCAATCAATACTCGTTCATCTCCATTCATTCCATTTCATCGCCGTCCTCGTACAAGTCCACCTATTAGTTCTGACCTAAATAATCGAAATAAAAATGAATCAACTAAACTTCAAAATACTACAGAATCTAATGAAAATTCTGATATTATTATTGAATCAACATCATCTCCAGTAGTAACAATCAATACACAATCAACAACTAATGAGAAACCAATTGATTGGATTGCAACTACACCGAATAGTATCGGTATTTCAGGTCCGCCATCTGTTCTTGCACCAATTACAAATCTAAGTTCAACATCAGCAAGTTCTCCTGCACCTAATTTAACATCATTACGCGGTATTAAACGTTCAGCTACAGAAGCATTTGATGATACAACTATCGATGATGATGATCGAGAACAACATAAACAAACATATGATTTTTATCGAACTGATTCATTGTAAGATTTAGTTTCTTTCATTTTGTTATTATTCAAAAAAAAACATCTTTTTCTTAAGTTTACAATTACCATTAAAACGTTTTCGAAATGATGGACAATCAACTTTAAATACTCTTGAATCAGTAACAGTAATAACATCAACTCCTGAACATGTTTATCAACATGGTCAACCTACGCCTCCTAGTCCAAGTCAATTAATATTTCGTGTATAATTTTATAAAAATTTTTAATTATTTTATAAGATAGCTTTATTTTTAAGGCTACAAATGATTACGATGAAAATGAAGAATCAACATCACGAATAAATTATTCATCTACAACATCGAATAGAATTTCTATAAACCCATCATCATTTTATACAACAGATGGACCATCAATGGCTGATCTTGATACTATACTCGATTCACAAGATACAACAGATAATAAAAATACAAATACAATTACTATTTCTGATAATAATAATAATGTTAAATCACCTAGTCGAAAAGAAAATATACTTCCGCCACCAGTACCACCTGTTCCAACTATATTGATAAATAATGGAAGTATATTTCCATTTAATAAATCATTTAACGGAGGTTTGTTAGATTTTGTTTGTATGTAACTCATTTTCTAAAAAAAAACATGATTTTATTTAGTTCTTCACGAAATGGAATTAATCTATAATACACCACCAGGTTCATCATCATCTGAAAAACTTCAAACATTACATTCACCATATGGAATTATGGCTGATACTGCTAGTCATGTAGCCAATACATTTGATACACTTAATCAATTTGGTCAAGAATCAATACTTGTACCATTTGAATCAAATACTATTGCTGAACAATCAGTTTACTATCCATTGAATAAAGTTAGTCTAGAAAAATCTATAGAACGTTATGAACCTTCAAAATCTTTATCGATAAAAACATCGATACGTAATAAAGAATTTCGACATTGGAAACAAACAATTCTTCTTAATGATATTTCTTCAAGTCCATTTAATAATCAACAAATGCATCGACAACAAACAACACCACGTTCAATGCCAACACCAACACATTATTCACCAATGCGTTCAAATGATTTACAATCATCACCATATCCTCCAAATCGTTCTATTGGTAGTGTTCAAACAATAAATAGTCCAACAGGAAATCTTTCATTATCAACAGCAATACCGGAAATTGATTCTTTAATATTTAATGTTTTACTTAATGATAGTATTTTAAATTTTTATCGTGATATTAATTTTGATTCATGTGTTCTATGTGCATGTAAATCAAATGATTTATCTATACATGGTATTGATTCAATGATATATTTAGAAAAATCTCGTGAACAAAATAAAGCAATACATTCACAAAGTTATTCTCATCAACCATCACCATATCAACCTCATTCAACATTATATCCTCAACAACAACAACAAACAAATTCATCTATGAATAATTCATGTTCATGTGGTTTTTCTGCTGTTATTAATTTACGTTTAAGTTATTTATCGGGTTTATTCTATGAAGATGAAAGTGAAATAACAGGAATTAAAGCTGATGTTAAATATCGTTTAACAAATGATCATTTATCAGTTAATTTACTAGAATTAATTGAACGAAAAGAATGTTTATCATCTCCATTTGATTGTTTTAATAATCAAAATATTATACAAAAAACTAATACTCAAGATATTCTACAATTATTAAAACAACCATTTTATCAACGTAAGTTAGAATATTTAAGAGGGTCTGGGTGTAGGTGTGTCTGTCTTGTATGAGAGAATAATGACTTATACACTCACACCCACCTAAACCCACACCCACCTAAACTCACACCCATCCATACCCTAGTTCTTTATTGTTATACATTAAATTATTTAGATGAAAATTGGGCGTGTGGTTCAGCTATTGATCAAGCACGAAATAATAGTAATGGTGTTATAGCTGACGATATTGATAAACATCATTGGTTACATCAGTGGTCATATTCAACAAGTAAGAAAGAATGTTTTCTTTCGAATAAAAGATTTCATAAAATATAACAATTTAGTACCACTTGATTCTGATCAACAATTAATTACAATGTTACGTTCATTACAACCATTACTTGTTGAAGCATTGAAAAAACGTAATGTTAATGGTTTATGGAGTACAATTGATGGTCCATTAACATGGAAATCTTTTCATCAATTATTATATGTACAAAATCATCATGCACATCTTGAAGAACAAATAAGTGGACCACAACCAATACCATATATACTTGCTGGTCTTGATCGGGAATGGATTATGTTAGCACCTTATAGTGTTAAATTTTGGGATAAATTATGTCTTGAACCATATTCAAAACGAAAAGATATTGGTTATATATGTGTTATACCAGATAATGATTATATATGTTCAATGACAAAAACATATTTTCGTGAATTATCAACACATTATGAATTATGTCGATTAGGCATACATCGGCCTTTATCAAAAGTATTTTCTGATCAAGGAATTTTACGTATATTATCACAAAATAACGATTCATTGCAACCTCCAAATATTGATCAATGGTTTACAGATCATGAAACTACGCATCCACTTGGCAGTCGATTAAAACTTTATGCTCAAATACTTAAAGAAAAACTTTGTAAGAATTCATATAGATTACTACTATCGGAATTTTTACAGAAGACGCGTGAAAGAAAAATCATAGCAACCTGCGGTTTCCACAATTCAGTAGAGGATAGCAAGGGGCATACGGCTACGTATGAGAAATGTTTCCTCAAAGTACCATCTATGGCTAGTTTGAAAAAAACTATTTTTCATAAAAACTGGCTATTAATTTCTGTAGCTCGTACTGATTTCTTTCAAATGTTATAAAAGAAAATCTTCGCAGTTGTTTACATACTATTCTCAAAAAAGACTCATACTAAAATTAACTGGAAAATATACTTTGGAGAAATAGTTCTCACGCATAGTTATAAATATAATAGAACTAGATAGAGTAAAAACTCATTTTCTAGCAAAAGATTTCGAGAATATGACAAGTATGATAAGCTTTGATTATTCATACTTTTGAAAACTAAATTCTATTTTTTAGCTAATATTCTCTCTACACAATTCTTCGAAAGCATATTATTAGAAGATATTACATCTCGTCGTGATGCATTTCGTAGCCCCAATGATTTATCTTCATCTTCATTTGATTTCCATTCAACGGGAAATGATGTAACAAATAATGGCCATTCATTTTCACCATCATCGTCGACATCAACTAATCTTACTGCAAATAATATTTATACAACTGGATCCGCAGCTACTGACGTTCTAAATGCATCCACAAC